TGTTTGATTATAAAATGTATTTTGCAGATACGTAAGACATATTTACACCTATTTACATATTTACATTGAGAGGAGCAAATAATCAATATTCTCCCACTTCACTTCACTAGATAAATTTCACTAACTGATCCAAAGAAAGAAGGTCGCGGAGCCTTTTCTACTTGGGACGTTTTACTGGAATGTAGAAATGGGTTCTGGTGGACAAGACTTGGGTAAAACTATTGGGGTAATGAGAAAGATTATTGTGGACACTATTAACGAATATCTCAGACAGAAGGACAAAAAGAAAATGAGTGAACTTCGGAATTCACTTATTGGACATAGACAATCCAAGAATCTTCTAACCAATTTTGGCAAGAAAGAAATCACAGAATGTGTCAAAGGAAGCAGGAACACACTGCGATTCCTAACAGGATTCCTAACAGGACACTGTAGATTAAATGGACATCTAAAGAAAATTGGAACAATACAAGATGACACATGTAGATTCAGCAAGGAAGAAGAAAAGACACCAACACACTTACTAACAAACTGCGGAGCTATATTAGCCAGCAGGAGGAAGTGTTTTGGGATGTACAATGTGACCACAGAACAGCTTCATCCAATGAAACCGGGCCTATTAATCAAGTTTCTTGATGAAATAGGATTCACCGATGTGCTTTAGGCAGAGCACGGGGGATACAATAGTTCTTAAAGGGCGCAGTATACTATACCCTGAAATTACATCTACATCTACAAGATGATTGTGGAACGTCATAAATTTTTGAGGGATTAATTTTTGTATACATGGAATTTTAACTTCCGTTGTGGAAGGAAGCATTTGAGATTTAATACAGAGCAGTTATAATTGAACTGGGGCTTTCAAATACGTTGTCTATTGGAAGGATAGCGACTTCCCACAGTTCTATTCCGTATGTCCAAATTGGTTGCAGTAGCGAGACCTTAGAGTTGTTTAGGTCATGTCGTTTCAGTCTATAAGCTGACCCGATGTTAAGCGTCCCGGTGAACTCAAGGTAAGAAACGCTGTCGGATTTGGGGATAGGAATAAAGCTCAGTAAAATCTGAAAGGAGTGTAAATGTGACATGGACTCATTTTCTTTCATTTATCTTCATTTTCCATTGTCTACATCAATCTGCTTTACATGTCATACGTTTCTGCAGATATTCCGAAGTAACCGCAGGATTGGGTTAGAGGATAGTACAGCTGAATCATCAGCAAAAATACATGGAGGGTGGTAGGTGTATTAGAACATTTGCATAGCCATTTTGAATTCAAAATCAATTTGCGCATAAGACACAACACATAAACAGGCATAAAGGAAAGAAATATGTAATTCAGGTTCACTGATAGATGAAGGACACACAAAACACATACGCATTAAACAAAGTTAGTACATATTAATGCATAAAAAATATACCCACATATTTTGTAAAAAATTCGTTATAACCTCACACCACCTCTCCCACTAACTGTCCTAACTCTCACTCTCTCTCTCTATTTTTTCTCTCTCTCTCTCTCTCCCTCTCTCTCTCTCTCTCTCTCTCTCTCTCTCTCTCTCTCTCTCTCTCTTTCTCTCTCCAACAAAATAAAAATTTTAGACTTAGTAACAGATAAATATTTTAAATATTTAACCTGCAATACACATATTGATAAAAAGTCAGAAATCTTGAGATGCGGTCTGGTGTGATGTAGGTTTCAGAAAAACATTTTCTTTATCGTGCCAACGTTTCGATCTTTATTGAGATCATCTTCAGGGCCTGGGATTTCCAAAATTGTTTACATTTAACAAATACATTTAGGATGTGAAAAAGTGAATTTAAACAATGCAAAATATATTTTTTTATATTCAATCAAAGTATTTCATCAAAGTATATTAAGTAAGCAACATACATCACACCAGACCGCATCTCACGATTTCTGACTAATGATCGATTAACGGTCACTAATCACCACACATCTTGATAAAGCTTGATTCAGAATGCAGCCCATTGTATATCCATGAAAAAAACAAAACAATTTAATATTAATAGTTTATCCATGAAGCTAAAACTTTTTAATCTAATGCTTCCAAATAAAACTTACGGCCATACCGTAATTTCTAATTTTTGTACTAAAAAACTTCATAACTTACATGTTACTGTAAATATGTGTATCCGCTGTATATGTAATTTACACTATGGTTCTTGAATTTATGGCAAATACTATAATATATCCATTTTAAAGATTGGTGATTTGTTAAAATACAAACTGTTCACTATTTTCCAAGACATAATAACAATACAAAAACCATTATACCTATTCGATATTGTTTCTCATTTTGAAATAAAAAAAGCACTGACACGTTCTAAAACTGCATTTAAAATGCCGTTGTGTTGTACACACTGATTTTTAATCCATTTTTTACCCAAATTTATAAGCCTAGAACCTAAACCTACCAATTCATTAGATTTCGCGGTCCGATTGGCCAAATAACCTTTTTATGTAAGGTATTGGTTGAGATAAAAAGTCAGTGTCACGAGCGGGATTTGATATGCTCATGTGGTAAAGCAGCGGCGTATTTAGCCGAAGGTTCGAATCCCGCTCGTGACACTAACGTTTTTATCTCAACCAATACGTTAAATAAAGATTAATTTACCCAATGCTATATAATCACTTAAATATAAATATATTTATAAGAAGCATCTAAAACCTTTTCTCTCATTACATTATGTTCACTTATACTCTATATAGCATCATTTAATATTTACAAATTATTGTATTTTGAATTACTTAAAATTCATTTGTATGTACGAATGCTCGTTAAATGTAAGAAAGGTTCATGAGACCTGATTTTGCGTGCTTTAATAAATGAAACTGAATGAAATGTTAATTTCAATTCTCTCTCTAACTCTCTCTCTCTCTCTCTCTCTCTCTCTCTCTCTCTCTCTCTCTCTCTCTCTCTCTCTCTCTCTCTCTCCCTCCCTCTGCCTTAGCAAAAAATTTGATAAGCTAGTATCTAATTAAATCTATCAATTTGTTGAAAGTACTTTTAAAATATTTACTAGTTATTTTTATTTATATTTTATTTTTGTTTACAGAATATATTTTATTTTAACAGTAGCACTTCGATTATTTTTGATTAGATTAAGCCATCCAGCCAAAGTGTACATTTTAGGAATGATCACCACTAACTACTTCATCTGGGAATTGTGGCATTAGCCGAACCTCACAAGTGTTTCGTGCCGAGCAATTCATCAAGAGGAATTGTGAACAAAATTCGCACTGACTAATGGGCCAGGCCATTAGTTATTGTTGTTGGAAGGGACAAGGGCCGAAATCAAGTGTACGGTAAATACCGTCGATTCGGCCCATAAGGCCGACGGGGAGGCGGAATAAGGTGCATCTGTTCAAACAAATTTTTATTGATGGAACTGAAGTGGACATGTGTTACTTCTGTATGTGTCCGTTCAATATTCCGACTTGAATCCTGAATCATTCTGAACATGTATAAAAAGAAATATATAAGGATTTTTATCGTTCTCAGAAGACGAAGCTTGTAAAAGAAATCCGCCTATTGGGAGAGGCTGTTCTTTCGTGCAGTGATACTCTGAAAGAAACAAAGAGACTTTTCAGCACTGGCTGATACAGACGATAAATCCACGTTCGCCGTGGTTTTAACGACCGCAAACGGTTCCCACATTGGTTTTTCACTGCAAAACAGCCCCCATCGACTTTACGACATTGGGTCATTATGCTCAGTAAAATAAACTATCTTCCGCGGCTACTTTTACGATTTATTGGCCCGGAGGTCGCATAAATTTCAACTTGTTGGATCGTTTTTATTGGCATTTGCACAGAGCGGTATGTTAGTTTTCATTCCCTTTGTTTACCGATTAATGAAACACGCATAAATCTAGATCACACAACATAAATATTATGAATACATAAGAAATTTCTTAATAATTATTTTATATCACGGATAATTATCGTTTTTTATTACATATGTTTTCTCTTTTTCTCTTTTTTTGAGTTTCTTTACTATCTGGGTTGTCTCTCTCTCCCTCTCTCTCTCTCTCTCTCTCTCTCTCTCTCTCTCTCTCTCACATACACACACACACACACAAACAAACACACTTACTCATTCTCTCTCTTCTTCTTCTTCTCTTCACTCACTCTTTCTTTTTATCTATTTTTTGTCTCTCTTTTTACGCTCAATTTTGCCAGAATGTTTTGTTTACGCACCCACGTCTATTGCGTGGTTTCTTTTTCGTTTCTTTTTTTAATTTTATTTTATAAGTCTATCTAACTTTCTTTCACCACCTGTATTACTACACCTCACTCCCTCCTTACCTCTCTATCTCATTTGCCCTTTATTTATTGTGTGTAGAGATTAGTTACCGTTAATCGATAGTTATTCAGATATCGTGAGATGCGGTCGGGTGTGATGTAGGTTTCAGTAAAATATCTTCTTTATCGTGCCAACGTTTCGGTCTTTTATTGAGATCATCTTCAGTCGTGTTGAGAGTGCCCGACGACACGCAAGGATGGCACAATTACACAGAAGACAAACACTTTGAGCACTGAAGATGATCTCAATAAAAGATCGAAACGCTGGCACGATAAAGAAAATTTATTTATTCTATTTTTCTCTGTTATTTTTATTTCACTCTCTATTTTTAATTTATATGTCACTTTTAATCTATCTACATCTACCTTCTATTTATGTCATTATTTACTTCAATATATCTATAATCTCTCTTACTCACTCACTCAATATTATACATATTTGTTCACATCAGTAAACAATTTTCTATTTTATCTCTAGTTTGCAAATCCCGTATTTTTTAATCCAGACAACAGCAATAGGATTGAGTTCGTTCAACTGTTGGTAAATAAACATTCACCCTAATAATCTTTATTTATGTTTATACGTTTGAATTGAGCCAGTTTATTACGAGTCTTCGTGTGAACAGTTTTGTGACTCGGGTTACTGCATTGCAAATTTCGCAAATACCATTCAATAATTCGTCTCAGATTTGTTACCAGGTATCATCAATTTAGTTATTTTTCTTACATATTGAAAATGTTTCCTTTCCTTAACGGTTATGATCTATTCCGTTTAATTACAGTTTGAAGCCATTTTCAACATTTTGGAAAGATCAAATAATAAAATCTCTACAAGAAGGACTTCCTTATCGTGAACTTTCAAAAAAATATAAATTGTTAATATTAGGGTAATAACAAAACCTAAAAGATATTCCGGAATTTACGATAGTTGTTTTAAAAAGAAGAGGAGTGGACATAAAACAAAATTTTCCGAGGCCAAAACGCGTTCTATCCACCGGTCAGGACAGTTGACATAATAATCATGATAAAGGAACAATTTAATTTTTTTGGTGTTTTTTGTGTTAAGATAAATAAAATTATTAAAAAACTACGTTGATGTCCTACAATTGTTTTGTAAAGAAAATAATGATATAACCCAATTTGCATTCAGCTGTGAACGAATCTGGATTCACATATATATATAAGTTATGGTTTTGCGTGTAGTAAACTAGTTTTTAAAAAGAATACTATTTATTACACAGCAAGCAAATACAAAACTGGAATAACCACTTCCAATTAGGGAATCTTCGGTCTATACTCGATGAAAGCCCGAGTCGGATTCTATTAAAAATATTAATATTAGCAAAGGCTTGGGGATGTAATGAAGGAGGGGTTTCTTGGAAATGAACACGTGTAGATGTGATAAGGGAGGAATGTGAAGGGTTGCAACAGCTAAGGGTCTAGCGAATACGTAACACCTCCCCTTTAAAAAAAATAAACTTCCTCCTGGAAGTTTGACCTTAAGATTCCCTATTACAATATTATAATATAATATTACAATAAGTTACATGTTACATTGTTTATAGCTGTCATGATTCAAGTCCTACTCCTAATACAATATAATTCGATAATGTATGATTATAAAACATTAATTTTATTTAAGTCTATTTAATTTTATTTAATACAATATATACGGTAAATACAATACAGTACAATAAATTTTATTTAATACATGGTGATAAAACATTAATTTTATCTAATTCGATTTCTTCCATATTCGAATCTGTTTTAGCATTTGTGGAATTCGTCCTATTTATTTTATTTCGACAAACTTGGAACTTAAGCATATAATATATAATTATAAAAACAATAATTAACATAATGATTATGAACACGCAGTACAATATAAAGGTTGAACCTGTATTATCGTCATTAATAATTTTGTGGATATTTACAGGGATTAGAGGATTCAAGGGTATATCTTGGACAGAAAATTTCCTTAAATGAATTTCCATTTGAGGCTGTTGGTTCGCCATTGAATTTATTGGTTCGATTTTAGGCAGAATTTTTTGGATGTCGCGTAGATGTCGATTCGTAGGCCAGATGATATCCTTTGTAGTAGATCGTCGCAGACTCCGTCTGCATTAGGTAGATTCCGTGAAGTTTTTTCGTTTCGGTTTCTTTATGTGTGACAATCGTTAATTTGTCAGGCGTAATAAAGACGATTAAATATTTGTTTATCTCTTTTATCAGCTCGATGTGGTTATTTGTCGTGTGCAGACTGACAAGTGTGCAGGAAGTCGACGTCTCGTTCTGCATAATTTCTTCGACGTAACTGGATCGGTGATAAGATACGTCGTCTTCGTAGCATTGGATTCCTCGATTTACATGTTTACATTTATTGTTTAATAAAATTGAAGGATTGATTTTTGTTGCTTTCAATACAAATTTGTTTTCAGGAATTACAGTTACAGAAGTATGGCCTAATTTAGAAGGTATTGAATAGAAATTATACATATCGTATTCTACTTTTGAATTGAGAGGTATTGACAAGCTATAAATGATTTACAACTGACTTTTATTAAATATTCATATTCCAAAATATTTTCTAATTTTACTTCGAAAGGCATCTGGGTTGCATAATGCAGAGAAATTTTTGAAAGTTCCTCATAGAGGTGATGTGTATTTATTATACTCCGGTTTAACGTTCCCTGTTTGCAAAATGTTATGGAACTCTCAATATCTTGAAATATCTTCATAACTAGATTAAATAATGTTTGTAAGTGATGAATTGTTTCTTTTACAATTGCTACATCGATTATATGTCGAATCTTCCTATTTAGTTGTAATATTTTATATTCCAATTCTTCACTGTTATATTTTATAGTTTCTACGGTTTGCTTAAAATTATCAATGATTTTGTTATTGACGGAATATTGTGCAATTAATTGGTTTTGGATATTTAGTTGATTTTCTTTTACGTGACTTAAAACTGTGTTGAAATGTTTGCCGTCATCATAGTCTAAATTACCCGTTATTGCTTTTATTATAGTGACGAGTCCATTAATTAATCCTCGTCTTGTTCTATTACTCGAATGGATTTTTATATTGTCGATTTTTCTTTCTACGGTAATTTTTGTATAATTCAAAAGGTTAATTGGGGTCTCTAAGTCTTTCTAAGTCTTGTAGTAGAGTTCGATTTGTTTTAATTGTTGCAATTATTTTGTTGCATTGTGTCTTAAGAATTTCATATTCTTCATATATAGTCTTGAGATCATAATAATGTATTAATGTGTGCGTAATTTGACTTGTAAATGTTAATGGCTTATCGTCCAGATGGAATATATCTAAATATTGGCTAACTAAATTTTTTATAATAATTTTTTCTTCTTCGTTCATATGATCTGTGCGCAGAGACGATCAAATTGATTGTTGTCTTCTCCGCTTATACCGAATCTATTGTGATAATTTTTGTTTTCTGATATTTCCGTTAGCGGTATGGGATTTTTTATTTTTACTTGTTGTGACTCTTTACATGTATTGATTATTGGGCATAAACCTTCATAGTTAAGTACCCTAACTAGAGCTTCCGGTATTTCGACCTTACCCACTCGTAAATTTGGTACCTCAGCGTCACCTTGTTTCATGTTCCTCACAGGGATTTTGGTTATTTGTTCTGTTTCCCCTAATATTTCGAAGTTATACATTTTTTCCGAAGTGTTAAAATACTCTAATGGTATACACTTTGTAGGTGTTTTTAGGCAATTTTCTATTAAATTAATGTTAGATTTTTAAATTTTTAAATTGTCAATCCCTAGCAGTATGTCAAATTCTGTGTGAAACTCGAACAAAAAGAATTTCAACTTGACATTGTTACGATTTATTAGTTCATCTAAGCTAATTAGGGTGCTAAATTTTTCCGAGCTCTCGCCGTGAGCTGTTGATGTTATAAACGGGTCGTATTTAATATATTCGCTAAAATATTTGTTAGCTATGGTTGGATTTACAAACGATTTTGTGCTACCAGTATTGATCAAAATTTTCAAATTAGATTTTGGAAATATTACGTAAGGTAATACTGAAATAAAAACATATATATTNTATATACATATATATATATATATATATATATATTTATTTATTTATTTATGTGGCTATTACGAAAATAGAAGTTCATATTTAAGTCAAAATCTTTATAAATCGTTTTTAATAAATATCTTACATTGTTTTTTAGATTCGCCAACATTACTAATGTACAGCACTTTTTCTAAATCATTTGGTCTATAAAGTTCTGTATCATCCCATTACACTGCGGAAAGAGGGAGTCCACCACGTTACGGAAGTGTTTTAATCTTGCTGTTATCACGACGGTAATATTTTCAAGGAGTGTCTCAATCAAATCGCAGGACCCTCCTGTAGTTAGGCGTTGGTATTTGATAGGAGGTTGTTGGTTGCTCCTATCTATCACCTGCCCCAGGCCCCTCTCACAAATGAAAATCAATGGTTCCCTTGCCGTTGAACAAAGATTCTCTCTTGTAAACAACTACGGGGTCGTTAAATTATTGATCATCTCCCAAAGTGCACTTAGACCTTTCTATTCAAAACGAAGTTTAAAACGGAACTAAGTCGAGAGTTGTAAACAAAAAATCGTTTGTCAACTATTGCAGTTGAATAAGAGAGAGCGAGAGAGAAAGAGAGAGAGAGAGAGAGAGAGAGAGAGAGAGAGAGAGAATACAAATGATTAATAGAGGGAAAAGAGAGTAAGAGGGGTAAAAAGAGTGTGAAGGTATGTGAAAGTGTGATAAATAAGTACGTAGACAGGTACATACATAAATATCTTCACAGGTAGCTAGATAGAAAAATAGATAGATAGTGCGAAACAAAGTAAAAAAGCAAATGAAAGAGAGCGATTTCTATAGATTGGTACGAATATAGAAATAAGATAAAAAGTAAAAATAAGGGTGAGGGAGAGGAAGAACGAGAGAAAGGAAAATATAGCGAGAGAGAAAGAAAGAGTGATAAGAAAAAAGAAAAGGCTAGAGATTCTAAGACATGTTGATATAGATGTTGAGACAAACATTTAGTACGTAAGAGAGAAAAGAGAAAAAAAGTCATACTGACCTTTATTACAATCAAAAAGTAAGAAGGGTGTGAGAGAGCAATAAAGAGAGAGATAGATAAATTATTATGTAAAAAAAGAAACATTAGAGATTTCTAAGGTATGCTGGTATAGATATTGAGACAGAAAAAAATCTATCTAGAGGTAAGAGAGAAGAGGGAGAAAGAGAGTTTATAAGAGAGAGAGCGGGCGAAAAAGAGGGATATAAAAAAAAATATTGGGGAAAAAGGTAATTTGGTATAGAAAGTGAGACGGAAAAATATCAGGAGAGTGAGAGAGGCGGGGAAAGAGAGAGAAGAATGAGAATGAGAGAGAAATAGAAGAGAAAGATAGAGAGAAATAAGAACATGAGAGATATAAAAAGCATTATAACAAAAAAGAAAAGGCTGGAGATTCTGCCATAAATTACATAATGAGACAGAAAAAATGTATCTAGTCAGTAATTTTTCAATTAAGGATTTTAGTTGAAATAAAAAGAGTCAGTGTCACGAGCCGGATTCGAACCCACGACCTTCGGCTAGATACGCTGTTGAACTGGTAGAGTAGAGGCGTATCTAGCCGAAGGTCGTGGGTTCGAATCCCGCTCGTGACACTGACTTTTTTATCTCAACTAAAAACCTTAATTAAATGATAAATATTTGTTGGTCAAGCGGACTACGAAAACCAGTGAATTTAACTAGTCAGTAATAGTGAAGAGGGAGAAAGAGTGAGAAAAGAGAGAGAGAGAAGAGGTTTATAAAGCATTATAGCAAAAAAAAACAAGAGTAGAGTTTTCAGGATAGATTGGTGCTGGTAGTGAGAGATTTAAAAAAAAAAAGAGAGTGTGATTGAGAAGGCAGAAAAAGTGTACGTGCGATCGGGAGGTCATTATAGAATTTAATTAGAAAAACTCGAAATTAAAGCTAATAAACTTTTAAACATTTTATCAATTTAATTGATGCATTATCATACTAATAAATCGCTGTAAATGTTAGGTTAAAATAAATCGAATGTATGAAATTTCAGTTCATTTAATCTAATGTTAGATATTCGAATTTTCTGCAATAAACGTATCAGAGACGTGTAAAAATAAAATGACCCGGTATGTTGATTTTTCCCCGTTGTTTAAACGTTATTCCATATTTAGGGAACATGAGGTTAATTGTATATAAGGCTCCTTCGCCCCATGTTGGACGTATGCAAAATAAACATTGGCCATTCTGCCCAGCGTAAGTTACATGTTATTGTTTATTATCCTAAAACAAAGCTGGATGTGAATTTTTATCTAATTAATCGACCCATTCTGTAAAATTATAACGTGTGTATTAAGGGTGGTTGATGTAATTTAATTTGAAACAATTTTTTTGTTTTTCAGAGTAAGGCAGGAGAGCAACGGTGGTGCGTGGTGCCCTAAACACCAAATAACCCCTGAGCCCAAGGAATGGCTTGAAATCAACTTGCATACCGTGCATGTCATAACTGCCACGGAGACCCAGGGGAGGTTCGGGAACGGCCAGGGTCAGGAATTCGCCGAGGCATACGTCCTGGAATATTGGAGGCCGAGGCTCGGCAAATGGATCAGATACAGGGATATCAAAGGAAAAGAGGTTAGTTTCATTTTAGTACACGTCCAGATTTCTTCGTAAGGTTGGGAAAAAGATTTCCTATTAAGCTAATGCCTCTCTAGCTCGGCTGGAAAATTTTCCTTCGAATTAAAACAAAACTAATCCCCTTCTCCGTCTGTTTTCCCGTCTTCTCGGCCTCGGAGCTTTCTTCCGATCTACAAAGTTCAGCAACTCAAAACTTAATCACATTAAAGCGTACACAGCGTAACTTTCAATTAAGTTTAAATTCATTTATAGGTTCCTAATTAACACATTTAGGGAATTAATGACATAATTACAGTGCTTTTAATTTTCTTTATCGCCCCTACCGTTTTGCTCAACTTTTGAAGCAAGAAAGCTTTGATTCAAATAAAAGTGTACGGGAAAAAATTTACTTCAAAATGGCGGGCCGAAGTAATTATAAGTTTAAAAGTTTCACCGAACCTAATTATTAAATTTTTGAACTATTTAGGTAAACAAATAAGAAATCTCTTTGAGTATATTTTCTTTCATTCAAGGTCAACACGCTGAACTTTGATATTACTCGGAAAATCTGTTTAATCAAATTAATTAAAATAAAATTATTATCCATTAAGTATACACTAATTTGTTTGGTAAAGATTAATTTGAACCTAATTCCACAACAGTTAAAAAATAAATAGAACACCTAGGTATATCAAACGATACGATTCGGAGTGAAATGGATGAAAAAAAAAGGTTATTCCTCAACCTCAAACCTCAACCCCGGGTGCCGGTGTTTTTGCAAAAAAAAAAGTTGGGTTCAGCGGCTTGCATTTGAACTCGGGACCTTTACCTTATGGTAATGAGAGCCGTGTACAATGCCTTAACCGCCAATCGCTTCATACGTATGCATTAAGCTTTAAGGCAGAAAGGCTTTGATCGATAAGAAATATGCATATATTATCAATTATCAATACATTGAGGAGAATATTCGATAATTTGAATTAACCAAATTAATAAACGAGTGGGAATTCGTAAACAACTAACAACTCAAATTGTTTCTTTAGTGACATAGTCGACCTAGATAGAGATCCATTTAAAATTAGATACGTATACAGACATGGATGTAGTTGAAAGTGGAAATAGATGTAAAGGAAAGGAAAAAAGAGATCTTGGAAGATGCATATATAAAAAAGCTCTATTTATGTCTATTAGATACATATTTAAATATATAGATAACATTGATAAATAGAGAAAAAATAGTAATATTATTATGTATTAGTAAGTTGGAGATCAGGGATGCGGTCATCAAAACAAGTACGTTTTGTAACTTATGCCAAGCTTTCAACCTTTATTCAGGTCTTCATCAGGTCGTTGTCATTTGGTTACATATATATGCATTGTTTTACCGTTATATTTTACTTGTAATAGTGACGAAGGCCTCAATAAAGTTTAAAAGCTTGGCATAAGTTACAAAACTTACTTGCTTTGATGACCACATCCTTTATCCCTAACGTATTGGTGATATCCTGATGGACGATTCATCCTTCCTTCATTATTATATATTGACGTTATGAGCTGTATATTACTGACAGAGACTTGCAAATTGAGCGAATTTGAGAGAGAACAAAAAAAGCGAGAAAAATAACTATGTTAAAATTAAAATTAATTACACAGACAAAGAGATATTGAGGGTGTGAAAAAAATATATTGCTTTTCGACTACCTTTAAATACATGTAATTATTAGAAGTCTTTTCAGAGGATCTTCGGAAGAGGTCAAAACAGAGAAAACTTCCTTACGGTTTTCGCCGAGCTTTCGACAGTTTTATACTGTCATCTTCTTTTTTGTTTGTTTATATGATAATAAAACAGGCCCTGAAGATGACAGTATAAAACTGTCGAAAGCTCGGCGAAAACCGTAAGGAAGTTTTCTCTGTTTTGACCTCTTCCGAAAATCCTCTGAAAAGACTTCTTGTATCCAGCAGGTCAATAATCTTAGTTTCATCGTTACATGTAATTATTTTTTACATAACATAAAATTTGTATGTAACATATGCAATAACCTTTATTGTAAGCAAAAGGCTGTGTAAACCATTTTTTAATTTATTAGAAAATTTGACATGCAATCTGAAATCTCATTGACAGTTGACTATGTTATACTGATAAAACAAAATCATCATCACAATATAATATATAATAATTGTTTATTAACTCATAATAATCAATAATAAACTGTATGTAATATCATTTTATGTAAGGTATTGGTTGAAATTAAAAAGTCAGGGCCACGAGCGGTATTCGAACCCACGACCTTCGGCTCAATACGCCGCTGCTCTAACCACTTGAGCTATTGTGACTTTGATCCACTCGGACACTAACTTCCCATCTCAACCCCACCGTTTGTACGTAAGGTTTTGGTTGAAATGAAAAAGTCAGTGTTGCAAGCGACGTAAAAAGATTAATTAATTGAAAGAAGTAATTTTGTCAATAGACCACTAAATATATATAATATAATGGATGTATGTAATATTTTCAACTTTAAATTTATTAAATTCACTAATTTCGTGGTCCGCTTGACCAATTGATATATTACAATTAATTAAGGTTTTTAGTTGAGATAAAACAGTCAATGGCACGAGCGGGATTCGAACCCACGGTCTTCGGCTAGATACGCCGCACCTCTACCACTTGAGCTATCGTGACCTCGATCCACTCGGACACTAACTTCCCATCTCAAGTGTCCTAGTGGATCGAGGTCACGATAGCTCAAGTGGTAGAGCAGCGGCGTATCTAGCCGAAGATCGTGGGTTCGAATCCCGCTCTTGCCATTGACTTTTTTATCTCAACTAAAAACCTTAATTAATTTTAAATTTATTGTTATTTTTTTCATCTTTACCAACTTAGTATAATGATTAGGTATTACTATATAATTAAGCTAAGATCATTTGTTGTAATGAAAAGTTATTAGACCTTGTTAGTTAAGTGATAACTTATGTCCTCTTCATTATTCCCCAAGTGAGACTGGATATAATTTCGGCCGTTTCGGCTTATACAAGAAATTACCGAGCTTATTCACACTGATTGCAAATCAAATTTCTAGGGTTGCTAAATCTAGACAGAAACATTTGAGATACGTATACGGATGGAATTCGTAAAACTGCTGTCATTATCGAATGTTTTGTAAATAGTTAAGCGGCCACGTTCCCATCTAAAAAATGCTACTGAGGAATTGGGGTTTCAGGAGGAACTGGACGACTGCCCCGTATTTTTTCTTATTGGAAATCTAAAAGATTCATCAAGCTTATTAGGACATGAAACTGATGGTAAAAACGATGTTTTTTTTAAATTAAAAAGCAGTAATTATGGAACAATTTTTGAGACTTTTTTTGTTTGATAGTTACCTATCATCTGCTAATCCTCTGATTTTTATTGGTTCAGACGCTTTTTGGTATTCCGCCACCTTCTTTTTTTCTGTTCATTTTTTTTTATTCTTTTATTGTTTTAGGTTTTTGTTTTGATATACTGTTTTCAAAAATTTGTTATCGGAAGAATACCTTTTGTTAAAAAATATTTCAGATTTGGTAAAGCTGCTTGTGTAACAAACAAAACTCACCGAAGAAGATTTAAATGGTTTTTAATTTATGGTTTTTCGAAGGAAGGAACAAAAAGGAAAATCTGAAATGAATGTGTTACGGAATCAAGGTTTTACCCCGATCGGTGATAAAGCCTTTCTTGTCCGAGGGGATCAGACATTAATCCCCTACAAACAAAGGCACTTCCCGTCGAAGGGTTTTCGGCCATCCCTCAGCCCACCCGCGGGCCCACCAATCCTCGCTAATCGCTCGCATTAATCCCGGCCCCTCCGAGCCCAAGGGCAAATTGAAAGTTGAAAGAAACAAACTTCCCCCATTCTTCCTTCTTACTCCTCCTCGCAGGGTTCCCACTTCGAGAAGCAATAAAGGCCCCGATCGAGCGAGGGGCGGTAATGGTGTAATCAATATGTGGAGGTCTCGATGTGGCCAAATCGTGTGATTCCAGGCAACTTGATCACCGGCACAACAGGTACTTGACGCTACCACTTATAGATTTATTATCACTACTTCATCAATTTTCCTTCAGCCTTCCAAATCTCTCAACTTTCCCTATTTGTATAGGTTATCTCTTACATAATTTACCCGGTAAGTAACTGTGATATGCATTTACTTATTACTAAGTCAATTATCAATGGAACATAATCAAAATGCACTAAACCTTGACACTAATCAACAGTTAACAATAATTTTCCAATTAATTAAGGTTTTGCTGAGATAAAAAAGTCAAGCGGGATTCGGATCTCCGTATCGTGACCTCGATCCTCTCGGACACCAACGGACCACCAATTTAGTGGTCTATTGACCAAATTACGTCTTTCAATTAATTTATCTTTTTATGTAGGTTTTGGTTGAAATGAAAAAGTTAGTGTCGCGAGCGGGATTCGAACCCACGATCTTCGGCTAGATACGCCGCTGCTCTACTACTTGAGCTATCCTGACCTCGATCCACTCGGACACTAACTTCCCATCTCAACCCGACCTTTTGAATTTTCTTTCTTTTTTGCCATTTTTCAAATGTCGAGTAATCTATTTGATTCTCGGCGACAAATGAAATGGCCACGGACATCTTTAGTGAAGGTATACTTCATTCCAACTTATTAAATTCACTAGTTTTCGTGGTCCGCTTGAGCAACTAATATCTTTCAATTAATTAAAGTATTTAGTTGAGATAATCAAATAGATTACACTACATTTGAAAAATGGCAAAAAGGAGGGAAAATTCAAAAGGTGGGGTTGAGATGGGAAGTTAGTGTCCGAGTGGATCGAAGTCACTATAGCTCAAGTGGTAGAGCAGCGGCGTATTTAGCCGAAGGTCGTGGGTTCGAATCCCGCTTGTGACACTGACATTTTTATCTCAACCAAAACCATAATTGATTGATTATAATTAAGGCTGTACATATCCTCTATTAGATATGAAATACTCAAAATGAATGTTCTTATCGTACAGT